ACCATACAGTATTTGTGAAGGACACCATTTGAGGTACTCTGTAAAGTTGGGATTGGTTGCTGGTTTTGAACCAACATTAGGCCGGGGAGGTAGAGGCATGTAGCATAGCGGCCAGTTTTCTTAGCAGAGCCTTGAATTCCAGTCCTGTTTCTACCTATTTCCCTTTAGTTGCCTTAAAGCAAAACCATTTAACATGTTTCAGACCTTCATGTCCCTATTTCTACACAAATCACAGGAGAGTCTGTTCTTTAACTCGTGGAAACCTTAATTACAAGAAGGTGATTTTTTTAACTCCTAAGATTGCAGATACTATTATCTTCATTACTGTGTGGGCTATCAGGGCCTGGGAAATGCAAACCTAAATGCTAGACCAAGAGGCGGCACGTTACACAGCAAAGCCCACACAGTCAGTCTCCCACTGACTCAGCATTTGGTAGTGGGCAGACAGACAGACCACCCAGTTCCCTCGATCAATGTCTTCGTGAAACAAATGGGTGTAGCAATATTCAAGACCTTCCATTTTTACATGCATGTTATCTCCTCAAAGCTTTAAAAGAAGCTGATGATGAATGGATGGGGAGGGGAAGGGAAAAGGAGAGTAGATTGAGGTTTTGATGGGCAGTGTAATTAATGGCGTTATACTGTGGTGGTTACTGTTAAGCAACAAAACATGTATGAGGGACTGAACGAAAACCGATTGGGGGGAAAAAAAACATCTGATGAACAGGAATATATCATGATCCCAATTTGACAAATTAAGTGACCATGGCTGAGACTGGTAGGATCACTTTGCCAAAACTACAACTAAGGATTGACACTCACAGTTGTCACCCCACAGCCAGAGCTGAGTGTTGACACAGTGACCAGAACTCGCAGTCAGGGAGCCTTGGTCCCAGGGAGCCAGATCTAGTTGAGTGCTCTGTTCTTTCTATAGTTCACAAGCATTTACTTAGAGCAGCACATGTGATATGTTTGCTTTTTCTCAAGAAGTCCCAGCTCTAAGAGGAAACAGGGTCTCTGGGTGCAAGACAGGCAGATCTGAAAGTGCTTCCTGCCCCTTGTTTGTACTCAGGCCTGGAACCCTGACAGTGGCTGGATTTCAAGTCTAGACGCCAGCAGGCTAATGCGAAAGCCCCTCTCCTCTGAGAGTTGGAAATTGGGTCTTCTTTGCAGAGTAAGGATCTCCAATGTGTCAGATAATGTGTCATCAGGTGCATACTCAGAAGGTCAGTGGTACAAATTTACCAGTTGCTCTGGGAAGGAAGAAGGGGCAGTATCCTCCCATGAAAATGTCCAGCCTCAGAAGCACCATGGACAGTTGCCTTGAGCTGTAACTGATTCATTAACAGTGGGTTTCATTTTTTGGTTATCACTGCAGAGTAACTGCCGAAGGAGAAATTGTCCAAGCAGGGAACTTCCGTTCACATAGTCTGTTCCTTCCTCAGGGCCAGATCTGGGGCATTCAGACTTGGATAGTAGCATAATTCCTATGCAGAGCTCCACATTTTTCAGACCCCAACTGTACAACCAGTCACAGTTGAACCGGATGGAGCCCCATCACTCTCAGGCATTACACAAACTACTGGGACTCTGCACATCCAAGTTATCACAGTGCCTGTTCCTTGCTTTCTGCCGCCACACTTCAGTGGCAAATGAAGGAGAAATGAGTTTACAATCATCATCAAAGAGAATAGTTCAAGATCAATCCTAAAGTACTATGCTATGAGTGATAGGATATCATCCATATGTATACAAGGAGGACTGTTCATATTATTTAAATATGCACCAACAACTAAAGCCAGAGAGGAAGAAATAGGGAGCTGTGGTGGCCTAGTGGCAAGAAGCTGTGCTGCAATCCCCAAAGCACAGGGTTTGAGGCCACCAGTTGCTCTGTGGGAGGATGGGCACTCTCTTCCTGGGAGATTTACTGCCTCTGAAAATCCGCCAAAGTGTCAGCTATAGGTTAGTTTTGACTCTGCAGTACTCAGCAACCACCACCTTTTGCTGGGTAGGGAGCTCTGATGGTCTAGTGGTAGAAACTGCACTGTAATCCCAAAGGCATATCATTCAAATTTACAAATCCACCAGCTGCTCCACAGGAGCAGCACGGGCAATCTCTTCCTGTGCAATTAATAGCCTTTGAAAACTCACTGGAGCATCAGCTGTCAGCATCAGTTGGTTCCAGCTTAGCGGTACACAACAACAATAACAACAACCAACTTTTGCTGTGAGGAATTGATCACACTTGCAATCAAAATGCCTTAATAATAATTGGTGTGTAGAATACAAAAATTGGAAACAAAAGAGGCAGACTTGGAATTGCAAAATATAATGTTCATTGGTGACAGAAATGAGGCTGTTGATCAAATGATAGAATTTTGCGATCAATGCAAAACCCTTTTTTTATTTTATATTGGTTTGTATGTAATTTTCATATACATTGTATTTCCATTCATATACATTGTGTGTCACACCTCACACATTCCTTCATTTATATTGTGTTTTATACGATCATTCACATACACTGGTTTTATAAAATTAATCACCGTTGATAATCACTGTCACTCCCGTCCATCTTTTTAGGTACCCACTAGATTTACCCTAATTCCTTCAGGTCCTTCCTCTGCCCACCAAACTCTGAAACCCCTTGATTTCCCTCCCTCTGCACCATTAGATTCCCTGTCCCCTTCTCCTTCCTCCTTTGGACTTTTATCCATATCTTAGTAGTTGTCCTTCTATTTTTACAGTGACCGTCTTATGCAGTACTTGTCCTCATGAGACTGAGTTAGTTCACTCATCATAATGCTATCTAGCCTCTCCCATGTTATATAGTATTTTACAACTTTGTAGCTCATGAGTGCTAAAGAATATTTTATTGTGTGAATATACCACAACTTCTCAATCCATTTGTTTATTGATGTAGAGACATACACTGCTGCTGGGATTATAAAAAGGTACAGCCACTCTGGATGGCAGTTGGTGTTTCCTCAAAAAACTTAACATAGAAATGCCACATGACCAAGCTATTCCACTGCTAGGAATATATCCCAAGGAAAATAGGACTGAGCCACAAAATGGAGATTTGTACACTGATGTTTATAGCAGCATTAATCACAGTGGCAATAAAACAGAAACAGCCCAAATGTCCATCAACACATATCTTAAAAAAAAAAAATAACAGGGACTATACACATGAACTTCACTTAATGGACTTCATAGGAATTGACTACATCTCTGAAAAGAGATAATGGATAAGCTCAGTATCAGCACTCAAAAATCAAAGAAAAGACTGACTGTGGAGCAGACCATCAAATATTCGTGGGTCACTCAGCTCTCATGTGGCTTTATCTGAATTGCTATTGTTGAATGTGTCAGTCTTATCCCCTCACTCATCCCTATCTTAACTGATGAAAATGGGGATAAATTAAGTTGCTTTTCTACTCTCCTGTATATGAGGGATCATCATTGTTGTTAGATGCCACAGAGTTGACTACAACTCCTAGCAGCCCTATGACCAACACATTAGGACCTTGCTCTGTTCAGTGCCAGCACCACAATCTCCACCATGCTTAACCCTCTTGTGGGAGTCCCATGTCCATTCATTTTGTTGAAGGTCTTTTCTCCTTTCACTAACCCTCCACCTTTCCCAGCATTATGGTTTTTCCGATGATTAATTCATAGAAGTTTTAGCATTTAGAAGGACATCAATGAATAGCTTTTGACTTTCTTAAACAGCAGCAGTCCTCATATGTTCTTGTGACTACTGAGCTCTTCTTTTGGGGGGCTTGACCAACATGGAACAAAGCTTCTGACTAAGGTTTGCTACAGGTGGATCCAAGACTCCTCAAGGACTTTTCTTTTCTGGCGCAGATTTCCCTGGGATGCACGCATTTTTCCAACTCAAGGAAATCATAATGAAGTTGGTGCGAGGTTAACCATGTGGTTCTGGTCTTTCTTGCAGGGATTTGAAACTGGACAATATCCTCCTAGATGCAGAAGGTCACTGCAAGCTGGCGGACTTTGGGATGTGCAAGGAAGGGATTCTGAATGGAGTGACCACTACCACATTCTGTGGGACTCCGGACTACATTGCTCCTGAGGTAAGACTTGGTGCAGTGGGTCATGGGTGCCGCTGCCAGTGAAGAGCTTCCTGGCCCGAGCATGTCTAGTAGTAGTAGTAGTAGTAGTAGTAGTAGTAGTAGTAGTAGTAGTAGTTATTGTTACGTGCGATCGAGTCACTTGCAACTCATAGCAACCCTATGTACAAGAGCCCTAAACCCTGCTCTATCCTGTGCCAATCTCACCATCTTCAACACACTCATTCCCACCACCCCAATCACAGAATCAATTTAATAATAATAATAATAATAATAGCAAGAGGGACTTAAGGGGGGATGGGAAAAAAAGGTGAAAGGGCTGCCAGTTTTTCCATCAGGAGATGAAGCTGAGAGTAACAGGCCAAGTCTGGCCAGGTCCTTATTGAGCAGTCCTCCTCCGTCCTAGTCCAGAGCCACAACACAGTTTCGAATCTGTCATTACTAATAGAGGGAGCTCTGGTGGTGTAGTCTGTAGGGAACTGAGCTGCTGACTCAAAGATCACGGCTCTCTGGTGTTTCTATCCTATTGCCAGCTGAAAGGGAGAAAGATGCATCGTCTCCTCCCCGCATTTAATTTATGAACTTGGAAATCCAGTGGCTGCTCAGACAGTGAATTCTACAAGTGTGTATCCTCAGCAAGCACACTAGGAATCCCCCCTTCAAAGAGAACAAAATGAAAGCAGGTTATCTCGATTAGGCCCTGCTTTGGATTTAGTGTGTTATAGGTTGGGTTGTATAATGGACCAGTGGGCAACTCAAATCCACCAAGTGTATAAAGATTTACAGCTTTGGAAATGGAGGGTTGCTGGAGTCAGAATTGACTGAAAGACACTGGGGTGGATTTTTCTTAGCATAAGGAATCCTCAAGGTAAAGTGGTTAAAGTATTCAGGTGCTAACCAAAAAGTTGGCGGATTGAACCCACCAGCTACTCTACAAGAGAAATGTGAACCAGTCACTATGAGTCAGAATTGATAGTGGCTTTCAATTTTCCCCCCACCATTCTCCTCAGTCATTTTTATCAACAGAACATTTTTACCATAGTCATAGAGTTGATAGTCTAGGGCTGTAGTTAAGACTCCAGCACATGCAAAGATGATACTTCATGGTGCATAAAACACCAGCCACACAACTTTCATGAAAGGTCACCCAGTGATGAGACTTGCAATGAACAACACTGTTTTCTGACTAAAACTGTTTATGGTCATTGTTGTATTGCCATTCTATCCCGCATGTAGGTATATTTGAACCACCAATCTTTTGATTAGTAGCCCAACGTTTAATTGCTTTCACTTCTAGGCATGCTTTTATCAAATAAAGAATACAGAAACAAATCCAAATACATGTGAAAATCTTGTAACAGTATTGGGTATAGGTGGAATATCCCATCAGAAGAAAGAAATAAACTATTCAATATATGATATTGTGACAACTTACAAAACAACTGGATATAAAGTAGGAGCCATAACCTGCATCACAACAAATGCCAAAGATTTAAGTCTCTAAGGTGAAGATTGTTAGGGGAACCATATGATTTTATGACTAAGAAATGGGTTAAGTCTTTCAAGTGATGACATAAAGTTCAGAAACCATAAAATAAAATGTCAGTGACCTACACATAAATAACTTCAACCTGGTGAACTACCAAAAACAAGCAAGAGATCACACATCATCCACCAGCAGGCCTGTGGCTCTCATCATCCTCAACATTGTTGTTAGGTTGAATGAGGTCAGACTTGACCCCAAATGTCTCCATGGCACCTTGATGAAGTTAAAAACATTTTAGAGCCTACAATTTCTGTCTGCTCTATACAAACTGAAGAATCTAATGAGATTATAGCATGGAAATGCTTGAGAGAGCATAGCCCTCTATTCAGATAGGAGGGGTGGGAAGATACTTCTGAGGCATTAGCTCTTCCCTAATGCTTCTCTTCCCACCACATGTCCTCTAGCTAGTTTTCACTGCACCCCTTGCTTTCCTCCACACCCAAACCCTGCTCCCAAGATGTGGCTGGCCCTGGTGAGTGGTGTCATCCTGCCCAGCACCCCCACCTCCTCTCTTACCCTGACTCTGACCCTCTGGAGACGTTGGCTGTCTCACCAGGTGCCCTCCTCCCATGGCGTGTGATACCTTGCCCTTCTCTCCAGCTCCATCACTGTCAAGGTGATTAGGAAGCAGATAATTAGGGCCAAGCCTAGAAAGGATTTGACAAAAGATGCCACCCAAAACCAGAAAAGAGTGGGCCAAGGGAACAATAGGCAGGGCCACTCTGACGTTTCCACAGCGCTATCCTGTCTGTGAACACAAAGCTGCTTTCCCACCACAGCCTAAAGGCACAGAACCCAGCCTGTCCCACCTGCCCAAGTGGAAGGTGGAAGGGAACCACCTTGGTGCACTCTGCCCCCTGAGCCCAGTGGGAAACAGACACTAAGATATATACACACATGCTAACCAGTCACAGTCAGCTGGCTGTCTCCTGAGTAAAACGGAGTTTGGCACATTGGTGGACTCACAATATTAGAGCCTCTGTCTTCTGGTCATTTACAGATACTCTGGGGAGTCAGTTACCCATGAAAAGATAACTAAGAACATGATAGAATGTGGATAGTGCCCACAAATCGTGGGAACAGGCAAAGGTTCTAAGGTTTTAAAGGAAGGGGAGGGAGGAATAGTACCATACCTGATAAAATCCAGAAGAGCAAAGACCTTGAAGTCATAGCAAGGATCTTGAAGTAGAAAATGGTGGGAACCGTATTCAGCTAGGATGGAGTACTAAATCTTTCAAGTTGGAGGAAAGAGCTGGCTTTGACTTTGAAATAGAGCTGAGTTACTACTGACATTTCTGGATAATGGAATCTTTAGCTCTGCACCTTTCAGACTCATGCACTCCCCACTCAGCTGAAAACACAGGTATTAACCAAGCCCATTGCTAGTAGGTGCTACCAAGTCAGGTCTGATGCACAGTGACCCCATGTACAATAAGCCAAGACAAAACATAACAAAACATTGCCCCTTCTGTACCATCCTCACAATAGGCTATTGGAGCCCACTGTTGGAGCTGCTATGCCAATCCATCTCATCAGAGAGCTGCTTTTTTTACTGATCCTACCTTGCCAGCCGTAGTGTTCCTCTGCAGGGACTAGGGGAATTTAGGAATGAGTTAAAGTCTTGTCATCTTTGCTTCTTTTTTTCCTTTTTTTTTATACTGGCTTATTTGCAAAGTTTTTACACATTGTTTTCACACCAGATCTTTCCCATTTCCTCCACCCCCGCCTCCCTCCACCCATCAAATTGTGTGACCCTATGATTATTGCTGCCCTCCCCCTTCCTCAGCCCTCTGCTCCCACCCCGTCCCCTCCTTGGATCCTCGTACTCATTCTACAATAATGGTCTTACACAATATTTTTCCTTAAGGGACTGAGTTAGTTCACTTAGCATAATGCTTTCCAGTACCTCCCAATAGGAAAACTCAGTGTTGTGAAAATTACTGTCCTGCCAAAAGCAATCTACATGTTCAATGTAATCGCAATACAGATACCAAATTCCTTTTTCAAGAAGATCGAAAGGGAAATTGTCAAGTTTATTTGGAGGAAAGGGACCTCAAATAAGCAAAACACTTCTGAGAAACAAAAATAAAGTGGGAGGCATAGCACTTCCTGACCTCAAAACCTACCACACAGCTGTTGGTTGTTGATTGCCATCGAGTCGAACACGACTCATAGTGATCCTCTGAATAAAAGTTCTGAAGCCTTTCTATAACTATGCACATTTATCAAAGTTCATAGAGTTTCTGGAAGCATGTTGTTTAGGAATTGGATGTCACTATTAGTACAATGAGAGACACATAGAATGGGACAGAATCGAGAACTCAGGAATGGACCTAGCTATCTATTGTCAACTGATATTTGAGAAGGAAATAAAACCTATCAAATGGGGAAATGGCAATGTCTTCAACAAATGGTCATCTTTGCTTCTAAGGAGCATTCTGATTGTTCCAAGACAGTTGTGTTCATTTTTTGTGGCAGCTCGTAGTATATTCAATGTTCTGACACCGTAATTCAGAGGCATCAGTTCTTCTTCAGGCTTCCTTATCCATCAATCATCTTTTGTATCCGTACAAAGTAGTGGTAAATACTATGACTTGGATGAAGAACAGTTTAGTCCTTAAAAATCACTTTTTGCTTTTCAACACACAAAAAATGTCTTTTTCTGAATCTTTTCACATTTCTTTTGGTTCCAAATTCCTAAGCATGCTTTATTTTTACACTTTTTCAATATGCTTCTACTTTATTGTTTTGTTTTTGTTGTTTTCAAGAGTCTTTTTACTTACCCCAAACAACTGGTAATCTCTCTAAGGGTACTGTGAGTAAACCACAGAAAGATGCTCAAGGCCATTTTGAAATCAGAGAACTGAGCTGAATCCTTGCCTGGATCCCTGAGAGCTCATTCTGATTGAGGTGCTCTCCGGGAGCCAGAGGGAATGGCTGCATTCTTTGGCTCTCCTTCGACATTCCTTGGAGTAGACTCTCTTTTAGAACATTCATTCCAACTTCACTTCTTCTCTACAGCCTCACTTTATGGAAGTATTTATAGCTATATAGATCTGGGAGCAACCTAGAAAGGTCATCCCAGATACTCTTGCCCATGTTTTTTGGGCAAGACTATTCCTAACAGTGGCCTAGGTTGTTGTTGTTGTTGTTGTTGTTGTTGTTGTTGTTGTTTAATGCCGTCGAGTCGTAGACGAGTCATAGCGAACCTATGAACGAACAGCCTGAGCACTGTTCGTACATAGAGTTTCCGGAGGCAAGCCATTTTGGAAGTGGATGCCACTCCTGCTTCCAGGATTGATTTAGTCGGGAAGCTCCAGCCAACACTGTCCACCATGGGTACCCGTTACCACGATTGGCCTACGTAATAGGGGGAAATATCATTGAATAGGAACACCACTTTAGTATCTTTCTTAGCCTTGGAAACAGGTGAACATTTATTTCTCTTCAGAGACAAACATACATCCTTGGTCTGCCACATATTCACCTGGAGATTAGAAAGCCTAGATTTATTGTCAGTTTCCAATTACATAGATTTTTTTTTGTTTGATAGTAATTTTAAAGATTTTCCACCTTAATTAATCTTGTTAAATATGAAATCTGAACCTAATTCTGCTCTCCTCTCTGCTCAGCAAGCATGCACTGACATGAGTGCATGGTAGAAGACCAGAACATGCAGCACTCAGCTTATGTGTATGTCTTAGTCTGTATCTTGTGCCCTGACTCTGATTTTAGTTTTAAACAATTATATTCTCTCTCTCTCTCTCTAGCTCTCTCTCTAGCTCTCTCTCTCTAGCTCTATATCTAAAACTAAACTAAAAATGCAAGTCTGGTACTTTATCTGATGCTTATATAAAAGAAAGCAGTGTCTTCACTAGAGGAGACATGGCAGACTTACTGTAGTTGGCCTCCAATGTAGTGTTTCCTAAACTCAATTTCTACTGAAATTGTTGATTTAGAAGCTAACGTGTGTGTGCGCGTGGGCCTCTGTCCTGTGTGAGGAGCAAGTTAGAGAGGCAGATGATTAATTAGGCTGTTATTTTATCCATGGGCACTTGGCACAGGCACCTGGCTTTGGCGGGGAGGATGGGTTTGTGGTAAAAGTTCAATGGGGTTTCAGTGGCTCTTCGTACACACCGCAGGCCATCCCTCCTCTAACAATATTGTCTCTTAAACAGATCCTCCAGGAGTTGGAGTATGGCCCTTCAGTGGACTGGTGGGCCCTGGGGGTGCTGATGTATGAGATGATGGCTGGACAGCCCCCGTTTGAAGCTGACAATGAGGACGACCTCTTTGAATCCATCCTCCACGATGATGTGTTGTACCCCGTCTGGCTCAGCAAGGAGGCTGTGAGCATCTTGAAAGCGGTGAGTGCACTGGTCCTCTCACTGTATCTGTCTCTTGTCCCTCCTCTTCCTCACTCTCTCCCTTTCCACACTCCTTCCTCTTTTTGTCTTCTTTTGAACACTCATTTCTTCATTCTCTCAGTTTTGTTCTTGTCACCACTGAACATGAAGATTATGGGTAATCAGCTGGGTTGAGGCAAGGGCCAAAGGGCTACCACCAAGAGAACAGGACCTGGAATCTACTGCTCTCCTTGTGAGAAAGGGCAGCACACGAGTATTTCCTGGGATGGAGCTCTGTGTGGGTCCCCATCCTCTTCTATTGCTGTTGTTATTAAATGCCATCGAGTTCTAGGCAAGTAATAGTGACACTATAAATGAAAGTCCTGGACATCTGTATAACTTTCATCCTTTCTCCAGGTTCATAGTGTTTCCAGAGGCAAGCTATTGTGGAAGTGGATGCCACTCCTGCTTCTAAGCTTGTTTTAGTCCGGGAGCTTCACCAAACACTGTCCACCATGGGTAACCATTCTTGCATTTGACTCGTCAGTGTCACGGTGTTCAGCTTCACAGCAACCACGAGTTACCACTGTACAGCAAGTGGACATACCAGGGTTACATGACCTAGAAGAATGTTTCACCAAAAACAATTAAAGGCAGGCCTGACGGTTACGGAGTACAGTCACCCACCTTTGGCTTGGGAGTCTTCTCCTATTGTTGTTGTTGTTGTTATGTGCTGTTGAGGCGTTTGCGACTCATAGCGACACTATGTGCAACAGCCCTGAACCCTGCTCTATCCTGTGCCAATCACATTGCCTCTGACATACCCACCCCGATTACCCCAGTCACTGAATCAATCCACCTCATAGAGGGTCTTCCCCTCCTGCGCTGTCTCTCCACCCTACCAAGCATGATGTCCCTCTCCAAGGACCTGTCTCTCCTTAAAACATGTCCAGAGTATGTCAGATGAAGCCCCAGAATCCTTGCCTCCAAGGAGCAGCCTGGTTTAACCCTCTCGAGGATTAATCTGTTTGTTTTCTTGGCAGTCCAGGGTACATTCAATACTCTTCTCCAGCACCACAGCTCAAAGGCATCAATTCTCCTTCTATCCTCCCTAGTCATTGTCCAACTCTCTGATGCATAGCAAGTGATTGCAAAGGCCATGGCCTATATCAGGTGCACCTTAGTCTCCAGAGAGACACTGTTGCTCTTGAGTACTTTAGAGAGGTCCTTAACAGCAGACTTTCCCATCACAATACATTTTTTTATTTCCTGGAGCCGAGCAAACTGAAGCTGTGAACAATCTCAATCTCTTAGCCATCCATCCTGACGCTACCAAATTGGTCCAGTGGTGAGAATCTTTGTCTTCTTTACATTGAGCCTCAATCCATACTGAAGGCTGCAGTCCTTGACCCTCTGAAGAGAATAAAACAAGACAAGCAAATAGTATTGTCATCACCATGCCTTTAGCTTTGGGACTAGGCCTTCTCCCTTACCTGCCGCTGACTAGCTTGTTGCTCTGGTGCTTGGGATGACAGGAAAGCTGAAAGAAAGCAGGAAGGGTGTTCACAGTAGCAATGCTTTGGCTGAACAGCTGGCTAGAAAAGAAATGCCCACTTACGACATAAGTCACTCTGCTTGACTGAGACATTAACAATACTGTCCCTGGCCTCCTAAGAATCCCTTACATGTGAAATTGCTTACATTTTATAAACACAGCTGTTTCTACAATGCATTTCTACAGTTTACTGTATCAAGTGAAGGATGTTCTCTCTTCTTTTGGGATATTATGGGCAGGGAAGGCAATAATTTCATTTGTCCAAAACAACCCTGCCAGGTTAAGACAGGGCCTGGTGACAGCCAGGAAGCCTGATTCCCATTCCTTGCCTCTTCCACCCCCGAAGTCTCCAGACCTCACGTGTTTCCATGACACGACACATTCACATTTGCCCCCATCAAATGCCCTCTGTGCTATTATTTACTTTTCTTATTTTTTTTCATCAACTCCCAGTATTCACCTACTAATATGTACTTTATAAGAAAACTTATCACTATCATATATTAATAATCTCTATCACTTTCCATAATTAATTAATATAACCTATATTATAAAAATGTTTTAATTACCTGAACTCATTTTAGAAAATGCTGTAGGAAAAGATCTTACTCTTTCTTACAGAAAAAAAAGTGTTTCTTTTCCTCCTCCTTTCCACCTTTCTGTCACCTCATTTCCCCCTTTTCTTTCTAATCTACTTCTCTTTTCCCCCTCTCCTTGTAAAGGACGTGATCTACATGGGGATGACTGCATTTGGTCCAGTGGTAAGAAGCTGTGCTGCAATCCCAAAGGCACATGGTTTGAATTCACCAACTGCTTTGCAGGAAAAGAGTAGCCAGTCTTCTCTCATGGGATTAACCACCTCTGAAAACTTTCTGGAGAATCAGCTATGAGTCAGTTCTGACTCAATGACACACAACAACCGTAATTCCACAAAGGGAAACAGTCTCCATCAAGAACATACAAGTGCCAAACCAGTTTCCAGGAAGTCAGACCTCAGGCTCCTACACACCTACCTCTCTTGATTCCAGCACCAATACTACTATTCCTCCAGTGAATCTGAAATCTGCTGGAACAGCTATACAGACTTCTCAGAACTATACTCCTGATTTTGGGGCTTATTAGAGAAGAAACAGGACACAGTCAGAATGGCAACAGGATACAGTTTCTAAGTCAGTTTCTTAGGTGTGCTCCTGGGCCCTTTAGCACTTGTAGCTGTAGGCTACTGTTACAAAGCTCTCTTAGTCCTGGCATTATGGAGTCTCCCCACCACCCCTGCTCCTCCAGCAGCTTGGGCTGACTCTGGCTCTGGGAGGCAGTGGTCTGGGGTCTGCTCTGTCTCATGTTGGTCTCTGGTTCTGTCTGTGCTGTGGCTCTTCATGCTGTCATGGAGTCTTGGTCTGATTGACACAGACATCCCTGATCCCAGAGGATGTTTACTACATCTCTGCTTCTTCTTCCTTGCTGATAGTGAGGTTTCCAAGTTCTGCTGCTAAACTTGCTCAATTTAAATCTGGTAGAATGGTCAAACTTTCCAGTTCCTCGTGGATAGACTATCATACCCTATTTCCATGTTCCTACCCAGCCGTGTGGTGAAAGTCGAAGGCAAAGGCCTAGGAAAGTAATTTTGAGCAATAAACCCACACATCACACTCCTCTCCTCTCCCCCCACTTAATTAAATCCAAGAACTACTATTTACTATTTCTGATTAACCTACAGTATGCTGCCTGCTAAATTGTTGTTGCTATGTCCCATCGCGTCACCTGCGACTCATAGCAATCCTATTTACAGCAGCTCTGAAGCCTGCCCTGTCCTGGACCAGTCTCACTGACTCTGACACAACCACCCTCGTTTGCCCCAGTTACTGTATCAATCCATCTCATCTGGGGTCTTCCTCTCCATCACTGTTCTCCCTTCCAAGCAGGATCTCCTTCTCCAAGGACTGGTCTCTCCCAGCCATGTGCCCAAAGTATGTTAGATAGAGCTTCAAACTCCTAGCCTCCAAGGAGAAAGTTGGTATCATCCTCTCTAAGACAGACTTACTTGTTTTCTGGATGGCCGATGGTATGTTCAAGACTCTTCTGCAGCTCCACAACTCAAAGGCATTGATTCTTCTTCTGTCATCCTTAGTCATTGTCCAACTCTGATGCATAGCAAGTAATTGTGAAGACCATGTAAATATTAATAAATATGACAGCCATAGTCCCTTCACTATAGAGCTAAAATCCAGTGGAAGGAAATGAATTTAAAAAATATATGTCCATACTCAATGTTTTTAGATGTCTTTACTTGGTGCAGTGAAAGAGGCAAATGGACTGTGTTCATTTACTCATTAATTTATTCACCAAATGTTTTGAACATCTGGTATATACCATACACTAAGTCAGATGCTGGGGATGTAGTACACAAAGTCCTCGCTTTTGTGATTGTTACTGTCTAGCAAAAAAAAAAAGTAAAAAGCAAAAACTGCATATTGTAACCAGTGATCATGAATACTAAGAATAAAAGAACCCCAAAAACCTAAAACTAAAATTATGACGTGTGTAAAAGGAGACAAGAGTTACAAAATAGCAGGTGAGGGAAACTTCTTTTTAATTGAGGTTGGATCCACCTCATGGGGACCTTGCATATAACCGGACAGAATGTTGTCCTGCACTGTCTTCCTGGCAGTTGTTACGTTTGAACCCTTCAAGGACTATTGTTCAATCCACCTCATCGAGGATTCTCCTTGTTTTTCCTGACCCTCTGCTTTACCAAACATGATTCCTGTTCCTAGAGATTGTTCTTTCCAGATGATGTATCCAAACCAACCAAATCCAAGTGTCACTTCCAAGTACCATTCTGATAGTATTTCTTCTAAGACTGGCTTGTTCATTCTTTTGACCATCCACAGTACGTTTAAAGTTCTCCATCAGTGCCACAGTTCAAAAGTGTCCATTTTCATTCTCTCATCCTTTCTCAGGAGCCAGTTTTCTCATGCATATGAAATGATTGAAAAGAGTATGATTGAATCGAGTGTACATTAGTCATCAAAATGACATCTTGGCTTTCTTAAACTTTGTCGTTTGTCCTTTGATTTTCTCAAAGCAACATATCACTTAGTTTCTCAACTGTCATATTCATGAGCGTTGAACGTTGGTCTGAGCAATATGAAAAGAATCTAAACAACACTGGTTGTTGATCTAAGTACTGACAACTTCAGTTTCTTCTCTAATCATCATGATGTTGTTTATTAGTCTAATTGAAATGCTTTTCATTTGCTTCACATTCAAGTGTCATCCATTCTCTAGGATACAGTATGGCATGACCTCTATCAGTAAGGGTTTGTTTGTTGGGCTTTTTTAAATTATTTACAGCAAACAAGATTGTATCATTTGAATATATTAGGATAATAATGCGCCTTTCTCCAATATTGCTGCCATATTTTTCTTCATATAGTCCAGCTACTTTTATTCTTTTTCAGCACAT